TCATCCTTTCTGATCACTGGAACTTGAGCCAGTCTCTGGAGTTGCAGCCTAATGTTTGGCAAGTGAATCAAGGTAAAATAGGAGATTCAGTACTGATTCCATTGAATCAGTTACCTGGCACTGCAAAGCTTCTCAGTCTTCTGGCAGTTTAGGTTTGCTGTGTTTACTACACATCCTTGTAATTCACATGATTTTAGTTTGTGAGTCAAATACTTCTGTGCATTCTGAGTTTGAGTACTATACTGTCAAGTGAATGGGGTGGTATTTGACCTGGTGATAGATAGTTTACACATAGAATCAAGTAATCATGGAAATTTGTATGTGTTTTAAGTCTTCTGGCACCCTTGCATTACCCCTGAGACTTACTGCAACTATTGCTTTTTCTTGTTGAGCTCTATTGTGGGTGGGAGAATGTAGATGGTTATCTCTTAGGGGATAATTACTTGTGTTGTAGCTATTCCGGGGCTTCTTTGTTCTCTCTAACTCTCTTGTTCACTTTGTTGCACTCTCTGTATTGGCTCCCTACAAGGAACTTTATAAAGAATTTCATGCCATTTTTGCTCATATTCTTTAAGCACAATGATGCTATGCAAGTGACAGGTTTCTGTATATGATCACCAAGGACTCGTGCTTCCCCACCGCTAAATGTTTTCTTCTTTGAGTCACCCTGCCTTGGCAGAAGATGCTGTTGAGACAGAAAAAAAAAAAATGCCTTTGCTGTCTGTGGGTGTTTTTATCAGATAAAATTCAGAAGTAGCAAGGGTTTATTTTTTAACATGTACCAGCACTAGAGGTGTGCCGAAGTATTGGTATCTGGGGTATTAACTAATTTTGATGGTATTATCAGTGGGTATCGGCTAAATTTTGTTGGGATCGCTATCATTATAGGTCTAAAATTGAGTATAGGTACGTATTGGCAGAAATTTTGGTATCGTCCCATTCCTAACCAGTACATCATATACATATTCACAATGTTGTTTATTTGTTCACATTCATACTCGAAACCATAAGGTGAAAATTGCTCAACTTAGTGTTAGGTGTCATTTCTCATTTTGATAAGTCTTCAGTGTCCTAGTATATTCGGTCCTTCATCATCCTGTCGTTTTAGGCTGGGTTGTGAATATTTAAGTAATTAGTTTTCTTTTTTTTTTTAACACACTGGCCATTTCTCACCCAGGTAGGGTGACTTGAAAAAGACACATGCTTTCACCAGAGGCGTGTCAGTACTTCAGTTCAGATGCCCCTCCAAACTGCAGATATACCTACCCCTCCTTCAGAGTGCAAGCACTATACATTCCACCTCAAGGACTCGAGTCCAGCTAACCATTTTCCCCTAAATCCTTCCCCAAAATGTTCCCCTGCTCACACACCAAAACAGTTCGTCAAGTTAAAAAAACCTTTTGCCCCCACTCTTTTCTCAAAATGTCATAATCCCTGGGATGTCCAAGCCCTCACACAAAAAGACCCCCTTTGCCCCCCCCCCTCCCCCCTATTTAGGGTGACCTCTACCCACCTTCTCCCACGATTTATACCCCCTCCAATTTCATCCTATTTTGTTCCTCCTTTTAAAGTTCAAACCACCCCCCCACTCGGAGAATATTCGTAACTCTCCCCTTTTTCCAAATTCCAGTTTATGAATTCTCTGCAAAAATTTTACATCATTCATTGCCTTTCTGACTGCATTCCTACCCCCAGCCCCCTCCTTGCTCAAAACAGCCCGTTCACCCCCAATATGAGTTTTGGGTTTTGACAGTCTCTCATGTTTCCCCCTTTTTGTTTCCCTTGGATAACGTTCTATGTCTGCCAAATGCTTCAAGCCCCACCCCCCTTTTTTCCCCCTAGTTCTGGGGTTCTTTTCGTTTTATATAAATCATCTGGACAGGTTCCTCCCCCAAAAGTTGAACACATTGACTTCCCCCTAACCCCCCCTTCCAATCTGATATCCAGTCTTCATTTCCTAACTCATTTGTTACCCTACCGCCCTTTCTTTTTTTTACTACTTTTTAATTTCCTCTTTTAGTACTCTCCCCCAAATTTATCCACCAAAAATTTGCAACGTTCTTCAGTCTCTCCCCAAAAGCATGTCTCAGCAAAAAGCGTTTGAAAATACGTTTTTGATTATATTTTGCATCTTGTAATCCCCCCCCTCTTTCAAACACCCCTAGCACTCATTATCTCGAAAACTCTTAAAACTCTTTCAGAACCTACCCTCTATTCCATTTTAATTCAAACTCTGCCACATTGCTTCTTCCACTTCATATGCCTTTTTTAAATCCATGAAAGCAAAAGAAAATTTTCCCTTTAAATTTATCTAAATTTTTTTTTTTTCAACAAGCCCCCCATCTCCCTGAGGCAGGGGGGACCCAAAAAGAAAGGGAAAACCCCAAAAAAAAAATACTTTCATACTTCAAACACTTTTCCCCACTCAATATAAACACTGTCTTTGCAGAGGCATCCGAACAACAGTTTAGGGCATATATAAAGTTTCTAAATTTACCCCCCCAAATGCCAAAATTCCCAAACCCCCCCTTTTAAAATGCAGCATTGTATTCCCCTTTCCCGTATCAAGTCCGGCTATATAAACATAAACGGAAAAAGAAGCTTTTTTTAATATTGTTATTTATGTTTCCTGTAAAAAACTTGGTTAAAATCCCAGGAGTCTCCTTTTTACTCTTATTGCTTTTTTAAAAACTTTTATACACTTTAAATGGTTTACTCAACAGGCTTATTCCTCTATAATTTTTTCATTCCTTTGTCCCTTTTCTTTTATACAAAAGGGAAAGTGTACACTTTGCCCTCCCCTAGGGATTTTCCCTTAAACTACCATCTAATAACTCCCTCTTCTGTTTTTAACTGTCAAATCCATTTGCTCCATAGGCTTTCTCAACCTATTAATCTCACTCCAGCAAAATTTGTTGACAGACTGTCACCCACTCTCTTATTTGCTCTTCTTTTACACTCCCTCACCATTCTCTGAACTTCTCTTTTACTCTCCATATACTCCACCCTCCTTACATCACTTGTACTTTGTAAAAACCTGTCATATGCTAACTTTTTCTCCCCTACCACTCCATTTGCCTTGTCATTCCACTAATTACTTCTCTTCCCTCCCATAGCCTCACTCTTTTATCCACAAATTTCTGCTGTCCATTCTAACATTGCATTTTTAAATCTACCCCATACCTCATTACCTATATTCTCTCTAGCTCATCTTTCTTCCAATAGTTGCTTATATCTTACCCTAACTACTTCCTCCTCTAGTTTATACACTTTCACCTCTCTTACTCATTGATGCCATTTTTCTTCTACCCCTATCTTACTCTTACTGTGACTGCAACTAAATAATGATCTGATATATCTGTTGCCCCACAATAGACATTCACATCCAGAAGTCTACCCATCAACCTTTGATCTGCCAAAACATAATCCAAGAAACTATTGTTGTTCTGCCCCATATCATATCTCATACACTTATTTCTCCTCTTTTTTTCATAAAATACGTATTACCAGTTTTCTTCTTTTTCTTTTTAGTAGGCTATACAGGAAAAGAGGTTACTAGCCCATTTTACAACACGCATGGCTTATGGAGGGAAGATTCTTATTCCACTTCCCAATGGATATAAAAAGAAAAGAAAAGCAATAATAATAAGAACTTTTTTTTTTTTTTTTTCAAGCCAGCCGTCTCCCACCGAGGCAGGGTGATAAGAACTATTAAGATAAAATCAAAGAAAACTCAGATGAGTGTGTATATATAAATGTGCACATGTATCTGCAATGTGACCTAAGTGTAAGTAGAAGTAACAAGACGTACCTGAAATCTTGCATGTTTATAAGACAGAAAAATGACACCAGCAAACCTATCATCATGTAAACAATTGCGGGGCTTTTTTTTTACACCATGGCAGGGAGGTCCCCGGGGTGGTTACTGTCTACCAATCTACTATGTGGAGACAAAAAAAATTTTATCAATGGAGGCAAAGAAGGGAATGTGTGAACGTACAGTGGTACCAACACTCTTATATGAGTGTGAAGCTTGGGTTGTAAATGCTACGTGGGAGGGGGTTTGGAGGCGGATGTCCTGTCTCGGGCAATGTGTGGTGTAAATATTATGCAGAAAAATTAAAGTGTGGAAGTTAGGAAAAGGTGTGGAGTTAATAAAAGTATTAGTCGGGGGAAAGAGGGGTTTTTGTTGGGTTTTTTGGCATTTAGAGAGAATGGATAAAGTAGAATGCTGGAGAGTGTATAAATCTGTGGGGAAGGGAAAGGCGGGGGTAGGGGCACCTTAAAAAGTTTGGGGGGGGGGGTAAGGAGGTTTTGGGCGGGGGGTTGGACTTCGAGCAAGGTGCGGCGTTTTAGGAGTGAATAAGATGAGGGGTTTGTGGGCCCCTGACAGTGTTGGAGGTAAGGGGTAATATTTGTGAAGGGGATTCAGGGAAACGGTTTTTTTTGTTCCCCAGACTGAGTTCTGGAAAGGGAAGAAAAAGCTGCACTTTAAGGAGGGGTTTGGGTTTTTGGGCATTTTGGGAGGGATGTTTTAATAGGAGGTTATTATATAATTTGGGGGCCCTGGTTTTATATCTACTGGGGTTTATTTTATTATTTAGGCACTTTTTATTTATATCTTTTATTGCTTGAGTGTTGTATTGGGTGCCTCTGCAAAAACGTGTTTTTGTTGAGTGGGTGGCGTGTTGAATGTTTGGGGGAAAAATTTTGTTTTGGGGTTTTTTTTTCTTTTTTTTAGTTGCCCCCCCTAGGGGAGGGACGGCTGACTTGTTGAAAAAAAAAAAGTATTACTGATTACCAAACCTCTTTCTATACAAAGCTCAAAGGCCCCTCCATTGTCATTTGCCCCTGGCACCCCAAAATTACCAACTATGCCCTCTACAACAATTTCTTCCATTTTAGCATATAGGTCCCCCACCACAATTACTGTCACTTAGTTCGAAACTCTGTAAACACTTGGTTAACATCTTGCGTAACAATTTTTTTCTCTTTTTCAGACACCCAGACCTCAATGCTAAAATTGGACGTTTGATGCGTGAGTATTCAGCAGCTCTTCGCAGCAAGTATTCAACTCCTCCTGAGCTGTCTACTCGTTCTCCAAAGCCCATTACTAGTGGTTAGTTCTTGAGCTTTTATTACTTAACATTTGATTGTGTATATCACTAAACATTATCTTAGGGCAGTACACCTACCATCTGACTTACGACCTGCTCGACATATGACCACTCAACTTACGACCATGTTTTTTTGTGCCAAATTTCTGGGAAATAAACAACTGTTTGTGTTGTACACAGTGTTTATCCTAAACCTTATGGTATAAAATACAGTACTAACAGCATAAAAAGTAAAGTAAGAAATGAAATACCAAAATAAAACAATAAAATAAAATCATTACAAAAGTGTGATGTTGATATTCATTAGTAAGGTTTGACTTAGGTCCATTTTGACTTATGAGCGGTTGGTTGGAACCAAGCTTGGTCATAAGTCAGATGGTACCTGTATAACTCCTAGCCGGGGTGTCTTGAGCAATTGGCATGGGTGCCACAGATGTTTAAAGATTTACAGCTAACCCTTTCAGCATCAGTCCTATTATTTAATGGCTTTGAAGCCAGTGTAAGTCCTGTAGTACTATACCATGAGCTCAACTCACTCGGGTAAGCTGTGAGTGGTAAATTTGGGCTTAGATATGAGAGAATGGGTTTATGTGGTAAATGTGTACATATCAAAGAAATCTTGCGGCATGTGGTGCATAATGAGAAAAAACTGCAGTCATGTTTTTGGTTTAATACAGCAACTTTGCAGTGTATTTTTGTATGGTTTTTATGGTTGTATTCTCGGTTTCTTGGTTCATTTGATAGAATGAAAGATTATTACAGAAATAGAGGTGATTTTGATTAGTTTCAGGACTGAAAGTATCTTGAAATTGAACTCAGAGTAGTAGAAGCGTTCGATTTTTGCCCATATTCCAGAGTACACAAGGTAACTTGTCCAATATGCATCCAACTGGCCAGTCTGATACACATTTAGGAATGCACTGACATTATTTATACAATACAATACTGCAGTAGATTGCGTAACAGTGAATCTTCTGTTTTTTTTATTTATTATTTTTTATTATCACACCGGCCGATTCCCACCAAGGCAGGGTGGCCCGAAAAAGAAAAACTTTCACCAACATTCACTCCATCACTGTCTTGCCAGAAGGGTGCTTTACACTACAGTTTTTAAACTGCAACATTAACACCCCTCCTTCAGAGTGCAGGCACTGTACTTCCCATCTCCAGGACTCAAGTCCGGCCTGCCGGTTTCCCTGAATCCCTTCATAAATGTTACTTTGCTCACACACTCCAACAGCACGTCAAGTATTAAAAAACCATTTGTCTCCATTCACTCCTATCAAACACGCTCACGCATGGCCTGCTGGAGTCCAAGCCCCTCGCACACAAAACTCCTTTACCCCCTCCCTCCAACCCTTCCTAGGCCGACCCTACCCCGCCTTCCTTCCACTACAGACTGATACACTCTTGAAGTCATTCTGTTTCACTCCATTCTCTCTACATGTCCGAACCACCTCAACAACCCTTCCTCAGCCCTCTGGACAACAGTTTTGTAATCCCGCACCTCTTCCTAACTTCCAAAACTACGAATTCTCTGCATTATATTCACACCACACATTGCCCTCAGACATGACATCTCCACTGCCTCCAGCCTTCTCCTCGCTGCAACATTCATCACCCACGCTTCACACCCATATAAGAGCGTTCGGTAAAACTATACTCTCATACATTCCCCTCTTTGCCTCCAAGGACAAAGTTCTTTGTCTTCACAGACTCCTAAGTGCACCACTCACTCTTTTTCCCTCATCAATTCTTATGATTCACCTTATCTTTCATAGACCCATCCGCTGGACAACGTCCACTCCAAATATCTGAATACGTTCACCTCCTCCATACTCTCTCCCTCCAATCTGATATTCAATCTTTCATCACCTAATCTTTTTGTTATCCTCATAACCTTACTCTTTCCTGTATTCACCTTTAATTTTCTTCTTTTGCACACCCTACCAAATTCATCCACCAATCTCTGCAACTTCTCTCTCAGAATCTCCCAAGAGCACAGTGTCATCAGCAAAGAGCAGCTGTGACAACTCCCACTTTGTGTGTGATTCTTTATCTTTTAACTCCACGCCTCTTGCCAAGACCCTCGCATTTACTTCTCTTACAACCCCATCTATAAATATATTAAACAACCACGGTGACATCACACATCCTTGTCTAAGGCCTACTTTTACTGGGAAAAAATTTCCCTCTTTCCTACATACTCTAACTTGAGCCTCACTATCCTCGTAAAAACTCTTCACTGCTTTCAGTAACCTACCTCCTACACCATACACTTGCAACATCTGACTAAGGAATAGGGGAAATTGACAATTTTTTAATTTTGTGTGAAATTGGCCAAATTACCAATTTCTGATCACTTCATTAGGTAGTTGAAGTAGGTAAATGGGTGGTTTCTTAAACTCAGTCAGTAGAATAGAAGGAAAACTAGCAAAATGGCTATGAGTTTGGTTGACTGGAACAATGGAATTGCCAAAAATAGGGAGCAAAGTGGGCAAAATTGCCAGTGCCTAATATCACCAAGACCGCTAACTTTGTGAGAACGTAATTCCATAAGTTTTCCATAAAGTAGGTAGTAGGTTGGTAGACAGCAACCGCCCAGGGAGGTACTACCGTCCTGCCAAGTGAGTGTAAAACGAAAGCCTGTAATTGTTTTACATGATGGTAGGATTGCTGGTGTCCTTTTTTTTCTGTCTCATAAACATGCAAGATTTCAGGTACGTCTTGCTACTTCTACTTACACTTAGGTCACACTACACATACATGTACAAGCATATGTATACACACCCCTCTGGGTTTTCTTCTATTTTCTTACTAGCTCTTGTTCTTGTTTATTTCCTCTTATCTCCATGGGGAAGTGGAACAGAATTCTTCCTCCGTAAGCTATGCGTGTTGTAAGAGGCGACTAAAATGCCAGGAGCAAGGGGCTAGTAACCCCTTCTCCTGTATATATTACTAAATGTGAAAGGAGAAACTTTTGTTTTTCCTTTTGGGCCACCCCGCCTCGGTGGGATACGGCTGGTGTGTTGAAAGAAGAAAGATTAGGTTTTTCTCCTTTTTCTACATAGCTCTTGTTCTTCTTTATTTCTTCTATTGTCCATGGGGAAGTGGAAAAGAATCTTTCCTCCGTAAGCCATGCGTGTCGTATGAGGCGACTAAAATACCGGGAGCAATGGGCTAGTAACCCCTTCTCCTGTAGACATTTACTAAAAAAGAGAAGAAGAAAAACTTTATAAAACTGGGATGCTTGAATGTGCGTGGATGTAGTGCAGATGACAAGAAACAGATGATTGCTGATGTTATGAATGAAAAGAAGTTGGATGTCCTGGCCCTAAGCGAAACAAAGCTGAAGGGGGTAGGGAAGTTTCGGTGGGGGGAAATAAATGGGATTAAATCTGGAGTATCTGAGAGAGTTAGAGCAAAGGAAGGGGGTAGCAGTAATGTTGATGATCGGTTATGGAAGGAGAAAAGAGAATATGAATGTGTAAATGCAAGAATTATGTGGATTAAAGTACAGGTTGGATGCGAGAAGTGGGTCATAATAAGCGTGTATTTCACCTGGAGAAGAGAGGAATGCAGAGAAAAGAGAGAGATTTTGGAAGATGTTAAGTGAATGTATAGGAGCCTTTGAACCAAGTGAGAGAGTAATTGTGGTAGGGGACCTGAATGCTAAAGTAGGAGAAACTTTTAGAGAGGGTGTGGTAGGTAAGTTTGGGGTGCCAGGTGTAAATGATAATGGGAGCCCTTTGATTGAACTTTGTATAGAAATGGGTTTAGTTATAGGTAATACATATTTTAAGAAAAAGAGGATAAATAAGTATACAAGATATGATGTAGGGCGAAATGACAGTAGTTTGTTGGATTATGTATTGGTAGATAAAAGACTGTTGAGTAGACTTCAGGATGTACATGTTTATAGAGGGGCCACAGATATATCAGATCACTTTCTAGTTGTAGCTACACTGAGAGTAAAAGGTAGATGAGATACAAGGAGAAGAGAGCATCAGGGAAGAGAGAGGTGAAGGTTTATAAACTAAAAGAGGAGGCAGTTAGGGAAAGATATAAACAGCTATTGGAGGATAGATGGGCTAATGAGAGCATAGGCAATGGGGTCGAAGAGGTATGGGGTAGTTTAAAAATGTGTGTTAGAGTGTTCAGCAGAAGTTTGTGGTTAAAGGAAGTGGGTGCGGGAGGGAAGAGGAGTGATTGGTGGAATGATGATGTAAAGAGAGTAGTAAGGGAGAAAAAGTTAGCATAAGTTTTTACAAAGTAGAAGTGATGCAAGTAGGGAAGAGTATATGGAGAAAAAGAGAGAGGTTAACAGAGTGGTGAAGCAATGTAAAAAGAGAGCAAATGAGAGAGTGGGTGAGATGTTATCAACAAATTTTGTTGAAAATAAGAAAAAGTTTTGGAGTGAGATTAACAAGTTAAGAAAGCTAGAGAACAAATGGATTTGTCAGTTAAAAATAGGAGAGGAGAGTTATTAAATTGGAGAGTTAGAGGTATTGGAAGATGGAGGGAATATTTTGAGGAATTGTTAAATGTTGATGAAGATAGGGAAGCTGTGATTTCGTGTATAGGGCAAGGAGGAATAACATCTTGTAGGAGTGAGGAAGAGCCAGTTGTGAGTGTGGGGGAAGTTCGTGAGGCAGTAGGTAAAATGAAAGGGGGTAAGGCAGCCGGGATTGATGGGATAAAGATAGAAATGTTAAAAGCAGATGGGGATATAGTTTCGGAGTGGTTGGTGCAATTATTTAATAAATGTATGGAAGAGGGTAAGGTACCTAGGGATTGGCCAGAGAGCATGCATAGTTTCCTTTGTGATGAATTGGTTTGAAAAACCGACAAGTTGAAGATTGAGACACTTATGCAGCATATGGGAATCTTTATTCAGGAAACGTTTCGCCACACAGTGGCTTCATCATTCCTTACAAAGAGGAGGCTGGGGGACTGATTCCCTCATACTCCCCCTCCTTACCCTTTCCCTTTTTGTAAGGACTGATGAACCCACTGTGTGGCGAAACTTTTCCCCTGAATAAGTTTCCCCCCCATATGGCATAAGTGTCTCAATTTTTCATATTTTCCTTTGTATAAAGGCAAAGGGGAAAAAAGAGATGCAAAAATTATAGGGGGAAAAGTCGTTGGTATCCCTGGAAAGTTATGGTAAGTTATTTGAAAGAATTAAAAGTAAGACGGGGAAATAGGATACAGTGAACAAGGAGCTTTGGGGAAAGGTGGGGGGTGTGGCCCGGGTGTTTACAGTGAAACATAAAGTGAACAGTATTTAGAAAAGGCAAAGGGGTCTTTGGCATTTTGGATTTGGAAAAGGCGTTAAAGGGGTGGAAGGGGGCAAGTGGCAGTGTTGCAGGTGTAATGGTGTGGAGGTGGGTTACTGAAAGATGAAGATTTTTACGGGGATAGGGGGCCAAGTTAGAGTATTTAGGAAAAGGGGGAAAATTATTTCCCAAAAAAGTAGGCCTTAGACAGGGATGTGTGTGCCCCCCCGGGGTTGTTTAATATTTTATGATGGGGTTGTAAGAGAAGTAAATGCGGGGGGTCTTGGAAAGAGCTGGAGTTAAAAGATAAGGAATCACACATAAAAGTGGGAGTTGTCACATTGCTCTTTGTGTGACCTGTGCCTTGGGAGATTCTGAAGAAAGTTGCAGAGATTGGTGATGAATTTGGTAGGGTGTCAAAAGGAAGAAAATTAAAAAATGAAAACAGGTTTTGAGGATAAAAAAAATTAGGGGATGAAAGTTGGGTATAGATTGGGGGGGAAAAGTATGGAGGGGGTGAATTTTTCAGATTTGGGAGTGGACGTTCAGCGGATGGGGGCTAAAGGGTGAGGGGAATCCATGAAAAGATGAGGGAAAAGGTGAGTGGTTGCACTTTGGATCTGTGGAGACAAAGACTTTGTCCTTGGGGCAAAGAGGGGAAGTAGAGAGTTAAATTTTTAAAAAAAAAAACTTCCCTTATATGGGGGGGGAAGCATGGGGGTGAAAACAGGGTGATGAAAAGTTGCACGAGGAGAAGGCTGGAGGGAGTGGAGATGTATGTCTGAGGGCAATGTTGGTGAAATATAATGCAGAGAAATTTGTAGTTTGGAAGTTAGGAGGAGGTGCGGGATTACCAAAACTGTTTGTCCGAGGCTGAGGAAAGGGTTGTTGGGGGTTTTTCGGACAGTAGAGAGAAAAGGGGCGAAACAGAATGACTTCAAGAGTGTATCAGCGTAGTGGAAGGGAAAGGCGGGGGTAGGGTCGGCCTAGGAAAGGTTGGAGGGAGGGGGTAAAGGAGGTTTTGTGTGCGAGGGGCTTGGACTTCCAGCAGGCATGCGTGAGCGTGTTTGATATTAGTGAATGGAGACAAATGGTTTTTAATACTTGACGTGCTGTTGGAGTGTGAGCAAAGTAACATTTATGAAGGGGTTCAGGGAAACCGGCAGGCCGGACTTGAGTCCTGGAGATGGGAAGTACAGTGCCTACACTCTGAAGGAGGGGTGTTAATGTTGCAGTTTAAAAACTGTAGTGTAAAGCACCCTTCTGGCAAGACAGTGATGGAGTGAATGATGGTGAAAGTTTTTCTTTTTCGGGCCACCCTGCCTTGGTGGGAATCGGCCAGTGTGATAATAAAAAAAAAAAATAATAATACTTTTGGTTTCATTACCTTCGGAAAAAGATTCTCTACCATTTCATGAGAAAAAACAACAAGCATGTTTGGGAGCAGGGGTTGCAACCCTGAAAGGGTTAAATAGTGGCATTAGAAACCAATCCAAGGTAAAGATATTTCATTTGTAATAAGCAACCACCCAATAAATGGTTTGTAAACATAAATTTTATCATATTTTAGAAATATTTCTTTGCAGTAATCATAGCTAAAGTAAGAAAGCATGTTTGGGTGTAAAGAGTGATTGGGTGTGAGTAGGACCTGCCAAGCATGTGTCAGTAGACCTGCTGTAGTACTGTAATCTTATGTTTTCTTATACACTATACAGTAAGTAAAAGTATAAATTTGTTTTCTTGGCTGATCTTATTTCATTTGTCTGTTTCTATTTATTCCCTCTTATATTCCCTGATTTCCCATTTGATACAGAAGTAGCTGAAAGAGTACCTTAAATTACACTAGAATTAATTTTCATAATTTATCATTTTTATTTTAGAATCAGTTTATACATTCACACAGTATATTATGAGGAATTAGCTTGTGATTCCTTTATTCGTGTCATACTTTATGATTTCAGATGCTAAGAGTGAGGAGGAACAAGTTCCAGAGGACAACAGTGCTGAGGTTGGAGAGGACAACAATGATGATGATAAGGATGCCATTGATGGTACAGATAATGATAATGAGGACTCCCATGATGTTGCAGATGATGATGACGACGATGAGGTGTGTTTACATTCTGTTTGGCAAGATGCCTTGATTGGCAGTTGTTTAATGTGAAATACGTTACTCTGTATCCTGTAACCTTGCTAATTTTATTAAAAATCTTTCAGAAATCTTTCTTTCTTTCAACGCACCAGCTGTATCCCACCGAGGCAGGGTGACCCAAAAAGAAAAACAAAAGTTTCTCTTTTTAAATTTAGTAATTTATACAGGAGAAGGGGTTACTTGCCCCTTGTAATATTTATTAATAATACAGTACTGTATACTAATTAATACAGTGAACAGTATCCTTTAGTTTAGAACTTCAGAAAAATTAGAGGAGCAAAGCCATACAGACAACAGAGGTGTATGAATTAAAAATCCTAGAAATGCAATGCTGGTCTTTTAATATACAGTGGTCCCTCAATAATCGTCCGTCTAAAGTCGTCCCATTTCGGATAATAGTCCGTTTTTTTTCGTAAAATATTGGCTCACAAATGGTTCCAGGTAACTCGGTAAATAAGTCTTCGTCTGGACGCGTACTCACGCTATGAGCCGCCTCGGCCTTTCCTTCCCAGCCAGTGTGCCATTGTTTACCAGTGAGTGACGGTCCCCTCACATACTCCTACGAAATATTTCATAATATTCCATTGATTTTAGTGCTAAATAAAGCTCCCATGGCTCCCAAATGAAGTGTCTAGTAGCCCTTGGTAAAGAATGATACAACACATAATTTTGAAAAAGTTTGTAGAAAAATACAAGATGGTGGTGGGTAGAGTGGAAGCAGTTGTGATAGTGGTTGATGAACATAAGAAAGGAGAATCACTGCAGCAGGCCTGTTGGCCCATGCTCGGCAGGTACTTCTTTACTCAATTCATCCCACTCATTTGGGGACTTGCAATTGAGTGGATAGAGTTACAGCAGCTAATGTTCTAGGGGTGTAGGGCATTGATGGACTGGGTTGGGGGAAAATGTTTCGTTAGTGGGATGAATTGTAAAGGACTGCAGAGCATGGCCAACAGGCCTGCTGAGTGTTGCCTCCTCTTCTTATGTTTTATAATTTTATGTTCATAACCACTATCACAACTGCTTTCCCTAACTCTACCACACCATCTTACGTATTTTTCTACAAACTTTTTAATAAATTTGTGTTTCTCACATTCTTTACAAAGGGCTGGCAATAGAAGCTTTTCTTTGTGGTAGTGATGGTGGCAGAAGGTAGTAGTGTGGTGGTAAAAAGTTGTTAATAGTGGGTAGAAGGTCGTAGTGGATGGTGGTAGAGGGTTCCTTCTTTACGTCGATTTCAGCGATTCTACCAACTTCCTCATTTGTTGGAGTTACATAGTGACTACAAAAATCACCGCCACCTCACCACTTTATGGGACGGCTTACATACAGTGGCCCTTATATACCAACAACCAAACACAACACAACACCCTCTGTACTACGTAATGACTTTTTTATCATTTCTCAGAGTTTATTCCATGTTTCTATGTTTTAATATTGTTACTTATGTCAATATTAGTTGAATGTGCTTAGAATAAAATAAGCCCATAGAGTTGATATAAGTGTCATATTCTCCAAACAAGAAAACTTGCCGTCCTCCCTCACAAACAAATAGCAGTAAAAACATAACAATGAAGAACACTTCAGGCTACTGGCCCATACAAGGCGCGTCCTAATATCAGACTGACCTCACCCAAAGCTACCCAAGAATTTAACTCCCGTACACAATGACACAAATGCAAACTCAGCTCCACCAACTGCGTATATTTGTCCAGTCTCTTCTGTGAAGCTACCAAGGTCCTAGCCCTTCGATCACCTTACTGTAAGTGTGATGTTAAATAAGAACTTAAGAAAGTAGGAACACTGGCAAAGGCTTGCTGGCCCATTAGGGCGGTCCTTCACAATAATCCAATCCTCCACTAACAGAAAAAATGCTACCCAAGCAATATAGGGCGGGCTTCAGGTGCAAGTCCGACTCAAATCCAACACCTCTATCCTGTATTTCATCCAACCTAAATTTGATACTACCCAATGTTTTTGCTTCGATCACCCTACTAGGCAGACCGTTCCACTCCTCAACCACGACTATTACCTATGTTCATTTATACATTTTATTAGTTGCCCTAGAGTCCTTATGGAGGGGGATTCCCCTTCCAAATAACCTCTCTTCCCTCTTCTCCTCTTCCTGTCTTCCCATTCACCAACACAGGAAGCCTCAATAAAGGTACTTCATTTTTGAATGTCATCCTTTTGTGCATGTAAATCTATTTCGTTTAGGTAAAAAAAAATTGTTGTTGATAACTTTCTTGGTGTCTGAACGAATTTAATTGGATTTACAATATTTTTATGGGGAAAATTGATGCGATAAATCGTTCCATTTCGATAATAGCCCCACTTCAGGAACGGATTATGGACGATTATTGAGGGACCCACTGTAATACGTAAGATAATACGAATACATGCGGTCAATTTTCATGAACCTGGCCAGGGAGGTATACCATTTTAAGAATGAAGATCCACACCCCCCCCCCCCCCCCCCCCCCCCCCCCCCCCCCCCCCCCCGCCGCCCCCCCCTGGCTGTGGATGTGGGAGAGGTGCGTGAGGCATTTATGTAAGATTGAAAGTGGGTAAAGAGCTGGAACTGACGGGATCATGACAGAAAATGTTAAAAGCAAGGGGGGGATATAGTGTTGGAGTGGTTGGTACTTTCGTTAGATAAATGTATGAAAGATGGGAATGGTACCTAGGGATTGCAGAGAAACATGTTATAGGTCCCTTTCATATAAGGAAGGAGGGGAAAAAAGAGATTGTAAAATTTTCGATGAATAAGTGTAACTGGGATTGACTTAAGAAATCGTAATGACACGATTGCAAATCTAGGAAACCACACTACCCACGGCCGGGATTGAAACAAAAAAAAAACCCCAGCGGTCATAGAGTTCAAAATCTCCCAGCCGTCGCGTGTAGCCCTACGACCAGCTAGCACAATAAGATTCATCCAACTAGGTTCTAGTGGCTAGCGCGAAGGGGCTGGAATGTTATGAGAATCTATGGACCCACGGGTTTCCTCATCCGCCGGGGGGTAGGGTTTATTTTGCAATCGTGTCATTACGATTTCTTAAGTAATGGTTTGACGCGCCGGAGCCCGGCGGGCCTGAAGGGACTTGAGATCTAGAGTTCGGATCTCGGCCACGCTAGGCTGGAGATTCGTCTGCGTAAAAAAACTTGCATTTGTGGTCACAGAGGTGCCTGTGCTAACTTTCTATGGTGTTGAAATATACCTAGTTGGCTTGGAACCTTATTGTGGCTAGCCTGGTCTAGTGGCTAGGCGACGGGCTGGATTTTTGGAGATCTATGACGCGGGTTCAATCCCGGCGGGGCGTATGGTGGTTTTTATTTGCAATGTGTCATTACGATTTCTTATGTCATGTTGGGGGGGGACGGCAGTGAAGGGACTTGAGCTCGACGGTTCGTCACGGCCACGCTCAGCTGGAGATTCGTCTGTAAAAAACTTGGCATAGTGGTCACAGAGGTGCCTGTGTACTTTCCATGGGTGTAGAACATATACCTAGTTGGATGAATCTTATTGTGGCTAGGGGTCTAGTGGCTAGCGCGGCTCGGGGCTGCGAGTTTTGCAAGACTCTCTATGATCCGCGGGTTCAATCCCGGCGGGGGTAGGTTAATTTACTGTGTATACAGGAAACCGTGTCTGGTAGGGTTATAATTTGAAAGAATTAGACTAGTAAGCAACAGACAAATGTAGGATGGGATGAGACAAAGTTTCAGAGTGGTAGGTCGATGTGGTATGAGTCAAGTGTTTACATTGAAGCACATATCGTGAACAGTATTTAGATACGAAGGGTTGGATGTATTTCTTGTCTTTATGGATTTAGAAAAGGCATATGATAGAGTGGATAGGGGAGCAATTGTGGCAGATGTTGCAAGTTGTATGGAATAGGTGGTAGTTACTAATTGCTGTATAAAGGTTTTTATGAGATAGTGAGGCTCAGGTTTGGGTGTGTATAGAAGAGAGGAGCTATCTTCAGTAAAAAGTAGTCTTAGACACAGGGACTGTGTTATGTCACCATGGTTCTTTTAATATATTTATAGAGGGGATTGGAAAAGAAGTACAATGCTAGGGTGTTCGGGAGAGGGTGGGATTAAATTATGGGGAAATAAATACAAAATGGAATGACATACGTTGCTTTTTGCTGATGATACTGTGTTATGGAGATTCTAAAGCAAAAATTGCAAAGGTTAGGTGGATGGTTTGGGAATGTGTGTAAAGGTAGAAAGTTGAAACGTGAACATAGAAAAGAGTAAGGTTGATGAGGGTATCAAATGATTTAGATAAAGATAAATTGGATATCAAATTGGGGAGGAGGAGTATGGAAGAATTGAATGTTTTCAGATATAGGGGAGTGACGTGTCGGGGATGGATTTATGAAGGATGAGGTTAATCATAGAATATATGTGGAATAAAGGTGAGTGGTGCGTTGATTGATGTATATGTGGAGTCAAAAAACGTGACCTATGGAGGCAATAGAAGGAATGTATGAACGTATAGTAGTACCAGACATTTTATATGGATGTGAAAACTTGGGTTGTGAATACAGCAGCAAGGGCAGTGGAGATGTCTGTAAAGGGCATGTGTGTGTAAATATTTATTTTTATAACACAACTGGCCGCATTCCACAAGGAGGGTGGCCCGAAAAAAGAAAACTTTCACCCATCATTCACTCCTCACTGTCTTGCCGAAGGGGGCTTTACACTACTGTCTTTGTTAACCTGCAACATTAACACCCTCCGCTTCTGAGGCAGGCACTGTTACTTCCCCATCTCAGGACTCAAGTCCGGCCTGCCGGTTTTCCTGAAACCCCTTCATAAATGTTACTTTGCTCACACTCCAACAGCACGAACAAGTATTAAAAACCATTTGCTCTCCATCACTTCCATCAAACAGGCTCCATGCATGCTGCTGTGAAGTCCAAGCCCCTCGCTCACAAAACCTCCTTTACCCCCTCCTCCAATTTCTAGCCATAACACCCTTCGTAACCCTTACCGGCGCCCCTCCGCGATCCCTACCGCCTTCCTTTCCAATACAGACTGATTCACTTCTTGAAGTTATTCTGTTTCGTCCATTATCTCCACATGCGCCCGAACCACCTCAATAACCCTTTCCTCAGCCTCTGGACAACCGTTTTTGTAATCCCGCAACTCCTCCTAACTTCCAAACTACGGGAATTCTCTGCATTATATTCCACCACACTATGCTCTCAGACAAGACAATCTCCACTGCCTCCAAGCCTTATCCTCGCTGCCACATTCATCCACCCTAGCTTCACACCCCATATAAGTGGTTGGGTAAAACTTTACTCGCATACATTCCCCTCTTTGCCTCAAGGAAAAGTTCTTTGTCTCAGAGGCTCCTAGTGCACCCCACTCACCCTTTTTCCCCTCATCCAATTACTATGATTCACCTCATCTTTCATAGGACCATCGCTGCACGGTCCATCCAAATATCTGAATACATTCATCTCCTGCCATACTCTCTCCCTCCAATCTGATATCCAATCTTTATCACCTAATCTTTTTGTTATCCTCATAAACCTTTATCTTTCCTGTAATTCACTTCAATTTTCTTCTTTTGCACACCCTACAAATTCATACCACCAATCTCGCACTTCTCCTTCAGAATCTTCTCTTCAGAATATTATGCAGGAATAAAATTTGGAGTGTGGAATCATTACGGAGAAGGTGTGGAGGAGGTTGGAGCGAGTTTAATAAAAAGTATTAGTCAGAGGGCTGAAGAGGGTCTGTTGAGGTGGTTTGGTCATTTATAGAAAAGGATCAAAGTAGTAATGACATGGAGTAGCATTTAAATCTGTATGGAAAGGAAGGCGGGGTAGGGGTCGTCCTCATAAAGGTTGGGAAGGAAGGGGTAAGGGAGGTTTTGTGGGCGAGGGGCTAGGACTTTCTCGCAGGCGTGCATGAGCGTGTTCGATAGGAGTGAATGGAGACGAATGGTATTTGGGACCTGGGCGATCTGTTGGAGGTGAAACAGGTAATGTTTAGTGAAGGGATTCAGAGAAACACCGGTTATTTTTATATAGCAGGATTGAGTCTGGAAAATGGGAGGACAACTGGCCGTGATACTCTTAAAGAAGGGGGTTTTGAGGATATCTGGATGTTATACCTGGAGAGAGTTCCAGGGGTCAATGCCCCCGCAGCCCGGTCGGGTGACCAGGGCCTCCTGGTGGATCAGAGCTCTGATCAACCAGGCAGGTTGGCTGCTGGATGCACGCAAACAAGTAAGAGCACAGCCCGGCGGATCAGGAACTGACTTAGGTGCTTGTCCAGTGCCAGCTTGTAGACTGCCAGGGGTCTGTTGGTAAATCCCCCTTTTGTGTGCTGGGAGGCAGTTGAACGAGTTCGGGCCCCTGAACTTATTGTTGGTCTCTTAACGTGCTAGTGACACCCCTGCTTTTCATGGGGGGATGTGTGCCATCGTTCTGCCAAGTCTTTTGCTTTGTGTGAGTGATTTTTCGTGTGCAAGTTCGGTACTAGTCCTCTATGATTTTCCAGGTGTATATAATCATGATCCCCCTCCTGGTTCCGGAATACAGGTTGGAACCTCAAGTGCTCCAGTAATTTGAGGTGTCCTTATCTCCGTTATGCGCGCCGTGGAAGTTCTCTCTGTACATTTTTCTAGGTCGGCATATTTCACTGCCTTGAAAGGTGCTGTTAGTGTGCAGAGGCAATATTCCAGCCTAGATAGAACAAGTGACTATGAAGAGTGTCATCATGGGGCTTGGACTCCCTAGTTTTGAAGGTTCTCATTATCCATCCTTCATTATTTAGCAGATTGCGATTGATACACATCGTTATGGTCCTTGAAGGTGAGATCTCCGACCATGATCTCTCCCAGGTCTTTGACGTTGGTTCTCTGTTTCGGCTCTATTTTTGTGGCCAGATTTGTTTTGTACTCTGATGAAGATTTATTGTAGAGTAACCTCTACACGCTTTACCAATCTCCCGCCCCGTAATTGGCAATTGCCTCACTTCAAATCCAACTGACCTTCATATGAGTTTTCGCAGCCCACTGAAAGATTTGGCCATTGATGTCCGCCATGGAGCCTTGCAGTGTCTGCTAATGGAAGACATGTCATGCCGATTCGGGTGTCATTCTGCAAAGGAGACACGCGTTTGCTGTGGCCTGACATCCTGCTGAGACTGAATGATCAGCATATGAGATGAGGAACAAGATGGGCGCGCTCGTACTGTTCCTTGTTGAACAGCGCTTTTCAACGTAGCTGCCTCGGACTTTACTCTGTTGGACGACTACTCTCTGTGGTTCTGTTAGTAGAGGAAATTATAGATCCATCGACAACTTTTTCCTGTTATTCCTTTAGCACGCATTGTGTGCGCTATTACGCCATGGTCACATTGTCGAAGCGCTTTTGCAAAGTCTGTTATAATACATCTGCTTTGTGTCTTTTTGTCTTCTAGTGCATTTAGGACTTGTCGTAGTGATCCATAAGTTGAGGACAGGGAAGGAGCGACACTGTTCTAAACATGTTGCCGGGTTGTTTAACTGCATGGGTTTCTAGTGGTGGTGATCTTGCTTCTTAGGACCCTTTCAAGTTTTTTATGGGCATATGGATGTTGTGCTATTGGTCTGTAGTTATTTGCTGTTGCTTTACTTGCCCCCTTGTGGACGTGGGGGCTATGTCTGTTGTTTTTGTAACTGTGGGGAACGACCCCGTGTCCATGCGCCCTCTCCATAGGATGGAAAAAGGCACGGGAATAGGGGCTTCTTGCAGTTCTTGATGAACACAGCGTTCCATGAGTCTGGCCCTGGGGCAGAGTGCATGGGCATGTCATTTATCGCCTGATCGAAAGTCATTTGGCCGTCAGGTATAACATCGGATAGGCTATGTGTACTCATATTTTGTGCTCTTCATAAAAAATTCATTTTGATCTTCGGACTCTCAGTCTGGTTAGCGGCTTGCTAAAAACTGAGTCATACTGGGCCTTGAGCTAGCTCACTCCTTTCCTTGCTGTCATCTGTGTAGGACCATCTTCGTTTAAGTAGGGGCCCAATAACTGGACGGTGTTTTCGATTTTGATTTGGCATAAGAAGAAATACTTTTGGGTTTCTTTCGATTTCATTTATGGCTTTTAGTTCTTCCCGCGATTTCCTGACTCCTAAAGGATTCTTTTAGCTTAAGTTCGATGTTTACTTGCTATTTCTCGACCAGGGTCTCCCTACGCATTTGCAGAATTTTATTGACTCTTTTAGCCGCCTCGGTTATTTCTTTTCCGCGCTGTAAAGGGAGCGCCTGTCTCTTTCTAATTTTTATATCTTACTCCTCCTTTTTCTTAGAGGAATAAGCCTCTGTGCAAACATCGAGTGCCACCGAGTTCATCTGTTCTGGCTAAGGTTGGGGTCTGTGTTGTTACTTAGTAAAATCTTTCCCAGTTTGGAGGGGATATGTTGTGTATCCTCCCCCCCATATAATATATGCGCTTCTAACTGTTGGTGAAGTGTGTGTGTGTACTCTGTAAAAACAGTGACTACCCTCCCCCGCCCTAACAGATGCCTCGGTCGCACGGTAAAAAGCCGCGCTCTCGGCCACCCTCACGCTTATCAACTCCGCTCCGCTACGCTCTATTTTCTTCTGTGGTTTTCTTTCTTTTTGGGTCACCTGCCTCGATGGGAGACAGCCAATTGTTTAAAAAAAAAAAGAATAATAATAATAATAAATATGTCTGTTTAACTGCTTAAAAGATTAAATTCGCAGGACTACTCTGACTCTGGGGTGACTTACCCTGTGGCAGGGCGTTAAAGGAAGTATGACACAACCCAGCCAAAATCAGGAATTGGAAAGTGAATCAGTTAGTCAGGAACCTGTTGAGTTGGACACACCTACAGTGGACTCGAGTATGAGGGTGGCATCCCCAGTGCCTAATGCTTTCCTCTCGTCCCAGAACCAGTGTTGCTCCACCATGCCTGATGATGCTACAGGTTGCACATGCTCAACACCACCAAATTTCACATTCACAGGCTGTAAGTAGCCCTTGTGTATTAATTCATAGTAAAGAATGTATGTAATACATTTTTATAGAAACATTTTAGAACATTATCTATAAATGTCATGATTTTGGTTATATTAAGCTGCAATGAATTTAACTTATTCAGTGCCTTTATGGGATAAGATAGTTCTTTATATAAGTACTAGTGTAAATAAGATTGTGAAATTTAAGAAATTCACGGGCCATAAGATGAGGGATAAAATTGGGAAAACAAATCACATAATAGACGATATAGTCATACTCAGGATTGTTTATGGTAGCACTTTAGAGGTTGAATTCTTAAGGGAGGGAACAACGATTATTTTGGATATAGATAAAATGGTTAATTAAAATACTAATTAAATTTTATATATTGAAAACCTGTTTTGTATCAAATGTAGCAAAGCCACTCCCACTCATTATACATTCAATTTTTTCATTAATGTTAAGGAGCTAACTGCCATAAGAGCTGGTGGGTTGGTTACCTACAAGGAGATGTGGGGCTGCATGACAGGTTTTGGTGTTACAGCCACCTTGGGTTGCTTTGAATGATTGAGCATCGAGTACCCTATGGTGGTCACAGTGAAACCAGTCTAAAACCAGAGGACTAGTTTGGTTGATATGTAAGGTTGGTTGGTGGACAGTATGTGGACAAAGAATTCCACAGTTCAATTGAACTTCTCAGGTTTCATCTTGAAGGTCTGTTAGTGGCATTATTGGCAGTGTTTTTGCATCAGCAAGTGCAACATTTGGTAAGGGAGTGTGGTGTTTGGGGATACTCGGAACACTTCACCTACTCACTTCTGACCCACTCATCCCATTACCTATTACCCAACCCAAACACAATGAACCAGAATATGAAAAAAACAAGGAATCCTCAGCCACTGTGGCTAGTAGGAAAAAGGTAACGTTGTGGATCTTGTGGAATAACCTATGATTAAGGAGAAATATTAAGAGTATTGTGGAATATGTAGTACAAACTTTCATGTTTTGTGTGCAAAGCTTATTACAGCCACAAGCAGTGACCTTAAATAGGAAAGGTGTTCCTAGATTTTCCCTAGAGAGAGAAAGTAGGACAGGTATAATATAAGTAATGAAAATAAGAAACCTAGATAATTAAGGAATTTCCTGATGAACCATCCAGAAATATACAAAGAGTGAGTTGATAAAGGTTTGTAGCACAGTGCTGGAACGGGTGGAAACGGATGCTGAGCACAGAGAAGAGATGGAAATAAGGATTCAAGACAGTGAGCTAAATACAAAGGAGGAAGAGATGACAATAACAGGAAAACAAGGAACAGAATAACCTGGAGAAATATGCTCAGAGAAAGGTAGACAGAGGAATTCAGATTACCTCTCAGAAAATGAGAATGAGTCTATAACAAAATGTAGGCAGTAGGAACATCTGTAAATTCTACACTAAGAGTGTGTGCATATATGGAAGAAAATGGTGGTACCAGACAAACTAGAAAATTTTCAAATATGTTAAAGGGAAAGTGTTGCTTTATAAAGGAATGCAGGTACTTCCATATAAGGATGTGCAAAACCACCATGCAAGTCGGAGAATGTTATAACCTTAGTGTCCCAGACTGTGTATGGAATGCAGTGTTACTGAGAATGTAGGGGTATGAAAAACAAACTGCATTCTTTTTTAGACATTGGAAATACTACAGGGACAAGTGTTGAAGTCTTTAAGAGGAAACTGGACAAATATCTCCACCAAGTGTCAGATCAACCAGACTGTGATGGATATGTGGACTAACAAGCTACCAGCAGCAACATCCTGACTCTGGACTGGGCTCTAGTAGAAGGAAAGCTCTTGAAACTTATCAAAGATGTATCAAACTTATAGGTATTAATTTTCTTTGTGTGTATTTTTCTCCATCTTCCCGGCTTTCTACTCTCTTAAGGAACAGTTTCTGCAAGTTTATGTGGAACTAGTTTCTCAAATAGTTACTATATGTAAATTAAGATAATCTGTTTTACCTGCACTCTACAGTGTGCATTTTGAAGTCTTTTAAGCATTCCCAATTAATGAGATGGTTAGAATTAATATGGGCATTTTGAAAGCTTTCTTTATGTTAACCTCATCAGAAATTTTGTCTGCCTTAAATGAGGTTTTTTAGTGTACAGTACAGCAGTAATCCAGTCCTGAAAGTACAAGTGCCGTACAGAGTATTATCACTGTTTTGGCAACTCTAGTTTGAAGGTTCTCGTTTAACCTATACAGTCGAACCTCGGTTGTCGATTGCATTATTTGTCGAATAAATCGGTTTTCAAATGAGGTGTTCGAGAGAAAAATGTCCTGGTTTTTGTACATTCTTTTGGATGTCAGTGGACAAGTTTTCACATGTACAGAACGAGACAAAGCGGCTCAGGCCACATACAGGAGTTTGCTGAAAAATACCATCCATCTCTCTCACTGACATATACAATAACTGTGTAATGTCTCAGTTTAGACAAGTGCTAAAACAGAGCCTGAAGCAAACCTCACTGGACAGATTTTTTAGTAAGATAGTCAGTAAGCTAGAACGAAGTATTAGTGTTGAACAGAGACAAAGAAGAGACACAACACCAGAAGGACAGTTGCCTGACATATTAATAGGTGACTCTCCTTCCAAGCAGTAACATCCCCCCTCCTCCTCTCCTCTACCTCCTGCTTCCAGTATGTCATTAGCTGTCCTCTGACAAGTAAGGAGCAGTTAAATTTTCATTTACTGTGCAGTATTTCAGTTAAATTTACATTTAGTATTTATTTTTACAGTTTCCCTATGCTGTATAATTTTATACATTGTTTTATGTAGTAGTCAGTATATTATTAATACATTATTATATTGTTATTTGGTATCTGGAACAGATTAATTCTGTTCACGTTATTCTTTATGGAAAAATTGCTTTCGTTCTCATCGATTTTAGATGTCGAATCGACATCTGGAATGAGTTAAATTCGAAAACCAAGATTCCACTGTAGTTTTCCTTTTAGTTAAGGTCATAATACTCCTGTGTTCCTTAAACATAATTATTATATTGCGAAGGAAAGTTAAGATCTTCAGACTTGGTTATTTTTAAGTTCCTTGCATATCTGTTTCTTGCTAGTCATCGAGTTTATTAAGCTTGGTATGGTGTTTCAGTTTTATATTTATAGTAGCTATAAGTTGTCATCATTAAACATTGTATCATTTTCTGTGGTCTACTTGAAGACTGAAGGTTTATTACATCATCGATTGATGCTACTATTACAATGCCTTGTTATCAGATGTGAGAATGAGAGAGTAGCATCTATTAAAGACACAGCAAACCTCAAAGCTGATGTAAATAGAGTAGTAGAGGATTGAACCTCCACTACTCTGTAGTGAATGACCCACATGGGCTTAGCACACGACGTTAATATAAAAATATCCATTAGAATAAGCACTTATTATGAATGCAGTTACTTATATGTTATAAAATTTTACCCAGATTTATTAAGTGTGCAGTTTAGGAAATCATTAGGAGGTGACTTTAAATACCTACAGATTTCTAACATATTTTATCATGTCAGTTTTCTAATATTTTAATATTGGAAATGCAGTATCTCATGCATATTTATTCATGGCCTTTTTTTTTCTGTCTCATGAACATGTAAGATGACAGAGATATCTTAAAAATCTCTACTTACAGTCGGTATGAATGGTAGAACCCCTATATCCACTGTTTCGGTGTAAGCGGTTTCAGTCTTCCATGGTTTACTGTGACCCAAAAATACCTCTTAATTTTGCATAATATGTCCCCAAGTGAAAAGTAGAAAAAATGGCAGTTATCCAAAGCTTAAGAGAAGCCATGAAGTGCTTCCTATCAGTGAAAAAGTGATAATTCTCTACCTATTGTGCATAATTTATTAATTAAACTTTATAATAGGTATGTATAGGACTTATATACGTATAGGGTTTGCTACTACCCACGGTTTTGGGATCCACAGCAGGTCCTTCAAATGTATCCTCCATGGATACTGGGGTCCTACTGTACTTACCTTTACTTTCCTATTTGTTTCTTAATATATTTTACTCTCTTAATATTTTCTTTCCAGCCTAGGCCTGATCTGTGACTTAGTCACAGGATAATGATCCGGAGAACCATTCACAAATATTGATGCACAGTACAGTTTTTTTTTTTTTTTTTTTTTTTTTTTTTTTTTTAACAAGTTGGCCGTCACCCACCGAGGCAGGGTGACTCTAAAAGAAAGAAAATCCCCAAAAAGAAAATACTTTCATCATCATTCAACACTTTCACCTCACTCATACATAATCACTGTTACACAAATAACCCGCACGTAAAAGAGAGAAGCTTACGACGACGTTTCGGTCCGACTTGGACCATTGACAAAGTCACACTAACAGAGGTGGAGCAGGATGGCTATATATAGGCAGGAAGAGGTGGAGGTAGTAGTATTAGTAGTAGTAGTAGTACAAGAATTGTATATAATACTGACAGGATGAAATGACACATGCACAACACCCGGGCATCCCCACCGTAGACGTTTCGCCATCCAGCCAGCCACTGGATGGCGAAACGTCCACAACAAAGACAACCAGACGCCGCACATGTGTCTTAATTTCATCAGTAGTTGTAGTAGAAGAAGAAGAGGTAGTAGTAGTGGTAGTGGTAGAAGTGGGAAATAAGGAAGACGAGCCAGCCAAATACAAAGGAAGGGGAGCACTGCAAGAGAGCTAGAAACCCACAGAGGGAGAGCAAGCGCACCGAGGTGCGTGAAAGGGGAAGTGGTGAAATAAAATAAAATAAAGGAAGAAGGAACAGAAACACGAGACAGGAGAGAGAAAGACAACCCAGAGGAGAAAAGGAGAGAGGAAAGGGGAAGAGGAAGAAGAAAAAGAAGAAGAAGAAAAAATGAGGATTCAGGTTAAGTCACGGGTGTTCTGAAGTTTGGAGCATTTTACAATGTAGTGGGAGAGGAAGGCATCTACAGAGACGAAGCCAGGGCTAAGGTTCATACAAGGAAAGTTGTGTATAAGAGAGGATTCAACTAAACGGCGACTACTACTACTACTACTACTAATACTACTACCTCCACCTCTTCCTGCCTATATATAGCCGTCCTGCTCCACCTCTGTTAGTGTGACTTTGTCAATGGTCCAAGTCGGACCGAAACGTCGTCGTAAGCTTCTCTCTTTTACGTGCGGGTTATTTGTGTATCGTTCCAGTCACGGTATTGTGCCTTTTTGTTATTTATAATCACTGTTGTTGCAGAGGTGCTCAGAATACAACAGTTTAGAAGCATATACGTATAAAGACACACAACGTATCCCTCCAAACTGCCAATATCCCAAACCCCTCCTTTAAAGTGCAGGCATTTTACTTCCCATTTCCAGGACTCAAGTCCGGCAATATAAAAATAACCGGTTTCCCTGAATCCCTTCACTAAATATTACCATGCTCACACTCCAACAGCTCATCAGGTCCCAAATACCATTTGTCTCCATTCACTCCTATCTAACATGCTCATGCATGCTTGCTGGAAGTCCAAGCCCCTCACCCACAAAACCTCTTTTACCCCCTCTCTCCAACCTTTTCAAGGATGACCCCTACCCTGCCTTCCTTACCCTACAGATTTAAACACTCTCCATGTCATTCTACTTTGATCCATTCTCTCTAAATGACCAAAACACCTCAACAACCACTCTTCAGCCCTCTGACTAATACTTTTATTAACTCCACACCTTCTCCTAATTTCTACACTCCGAATTTTCTGCACAATATTTACACCACGCACTGCCCTTAGACAGGACATCCCCACTGCCTCCAACCGTCTCCTCGCTGCAGCATTTACAACCCAAGCTTCACACCCATATAAGAGTGCTGGTACCACTGTACTTTCATACATTCCCTTCAGTCTCAACAGACTTATTCCCCTATAATTTTTAGACTTTTTTGTCTCCTTTGCCTTTATACAAAGGAACTATGCATGCTCTCTGCCATTCCCTAGGTACCTTACCTGTTCCATACATTTATTAAATAAAAACACTAACTACTACAAAATTATATCCCCACCTGCCTTTAACATTTCTATCTTTATCCCATCAATCCCAGCTGCTTTACCCCCTTTCATCCTACTTACTGCCGCATGCACCTCCCCTACACTCACAACTGGTTCTTCCTCACTCCTATAAGATGTTATTCCTCCTTGTCCTATACACAAAATCACAGCTTCCCTAGCTTCATCAACATTTAACAATTCCTCAAAATATTCCTCTCTCCTGTGTTCAGGTTATTTGTGTATCATTCAGGTCACAGTATTGTCTTTTTGTACTTCATCTTTTGCAAATGATAAAGAAAAGATGGAGGTTACACTGATTTACATCTGTTTAGGCATCTTATAACTTGGGTAAAGTGGTGAAGCTGAATGTAGAGCCAGTAAAACCATGTGTGCCAAAGAAAATTTGCTAGTTTATCATGTTCAGTATACAGTGAAGATACTTATATGAAACAATATATATTTGCAGCTAGATGATTAAGGTTAACTCAGAGCTTTGTAAAATATTGCTGTACTGAGATATATTAACCATACTTTTTTGTGTATTTTAGAGCTACAGTGTGACGCGCGAGTCATCAGGAAGTGAGAGCCGTGGTGTGTACTTTACTCTAGCTTTTGCTGGTGTTGCACTGATGATGGCCATGGTAGTTGGTATTGTTGTTCTTCGGCGTAGGAACAGCACCAACCCCCACAATCAAGTAAGATTACTATAATTTGATAATTTGTACACTTCCAACCTCCCACAATCAAGTAAGATACCTATTTTAATTTGGTAATTTGTGCACTGTTACAAAAAACGCGATTCTAAAAGCTTAGAGATCTCCAGTGAATACTAGAAAGGACTGCCCTTCTAGCATCCAGCCTGTTACTGGGTTTTTGTAGCAAGTAGTCAGTATCCTTGTCCAGTTATCCATTAGAATTCAGTATGATTCAATAGTGCTTCAGGATTACAACTGGTAGGCTACTAACTAGAGAAATTAAAATTTAATAAATTTATTAAGTATCGTCTTGAGGTATATCATATTAAATTAAATTAATCAATTCAAACAAATTAATAATAATCACTTCTCTCGTGTACAGTATTATTGTGCTGAAAGCACATATCACATTTATAATTCTTAAGTACCGTCTGGTACATTAACATTTAATAAAATATTACAAATATGTACAAGTAAGTTTGTGTATGTAAGTGCTCTAAGTAGTTCGCTATGTCTCAAGACTCAACTAGACTTAAACAAGTGACTGACAAAGTCCTCAAATAAACTAACTTCTTGACCAACTGGCAGTCAGAACAGTCTGCTTGAACAATAAAAAGAATGCTAAGCCCAATAGCAATATAACAAGCAACTGCGACACAGAATCAGGAACAAGAAGATAATATAACGACACTAAGTAGGGACCATCTGCAGATCCTCCACAAAAGTCACAAAACTCCCGTACTACTGAATCTAAGTTCAGCATAAGAAAATCCCCGACTGTAATAATACACAGATACCAGTACAAATTAGGTCAGAAGCTACAGCTCAGGACCTGAGTTGCTCAGTGTGTCTTTGCGACACACAACCTCAGTACAACGTTGAAAATCACTAACAATAATAAGAGACAATCTTCCAACAAGGGCCGATAAGGAAGAGTTAGGCTCTTGTCAGGGATACGTCCAACCACCAAGAGAGTCTAGACCAGACTGAATACTTCAGGCGAGGTGAGGACACCCCCCCTCGATCACGTGATAGCTCCGTGGGTCGCTGCCCAGCAAGAAGCCGGCAGGAAACGAGCAAAGAGCGATAATTACAGTAGTTAGACAATCAAGACTTGAACTGAGCACATAATATGTTACATCCTACCTAACAAAAGGAAGCTAAGTCAAATAATATAAAGCAATACATTTACGATTTAGCTATTATCGCAAATACAAGCAATATAAAATTATATGAAAAGGTAATAATTATATATTCTTTCTTTCTTTCAACATACCAGCCATATCCCACCGAGATAGGGTGGCCCAAAAGAAAAAACTGAAGTTTCTCCTTTTATATTTAGTAATATATACAGGAGAAGGGGTTACTAGCCCCTTGCTCCCGGCATTTTAGTCACCTCTTATGACACGCATGGCTTACAGAGGAAGAATTCTGTTCCACTTCCCCATGGAGATAAGAGGAAATAAACAAGAACAAGAATTAGAAAGAAAATAGAAGAAAACCCAGAGGGGTGTGTATATATATGCTTATACACGTATGTGTAGTGTGACCTAAGTGTAAGTAGAAGTGGCAAGAATACCTGTAATTTTGCATATTTATGAGACAGACAAAAGACACCAGCAATCCTACCATCATGTAAAACAATTACAGGCTTTCATTTTACACTCACTTGGCAGGACGGTAGTACCTCCCTGGGCGGTTGCTGTCTACCAACCCCACTACTACAGTAAAATTTTATATATACATATTAATCATTGCAACCCCTTCAGGGGTTGCAACACCCCCCCCCAACACGACAAACGGTCGTACTAGGAATTGCATTAATGTCTTTCACATTACTGATTACTCAGGTTACATTACTAACAGTTTAATATAAAAAAATATAAGAGTCAATCTTGTGCCAAGCACTTCTATAATTTCACAGCGTCTATACAATAAGATATGCCCTAGTACTGTGGCAGTACAAAGTATCGTATCTTGCATACTCTGGTTATGTACATCAGTGTAGAGGGCAGGATAGCGTAGACAAGCAGGATACGTTGAGGCTCGATCATAGTAGTGGATATGAACAATAGTCTTGTGCTATAGACAGGAGACAGCATTTCACTCTTAAGTAGTGGTTGTGGAATGCTTTGCAGTATGGACATCCGAGTTTTGAAACAGCTTAAGGTGTGTAGTGAGGGGGGGGGATCTGCGGCAGGACAATGTTCCGTCACGCAGTACATCGCCCACACCACACTACCCACTCAACACTCAGCTTTTGCCTCCTCCTCACACATATCCCCACTACTGTGAATATATAAATATAATAATTAGACATGAGTATATATAGTTAATATAGGCTGGAGGGATTAAGTTACTCTACTGAATTTGACATAGCAAGTAACAAAAGGTATTTGGGCATAAAATTACGTTAAATTTTTGTAACTGATAATTTTTAAGGACGTGACAGAGCGTCAGCAATTACATTACAATGACCACTATGTGTTTTATACTGATAGAATAAGGTTGGATTCTGGGCCCCCCTCATGATCCTAGCATTCTTACTCTTCATAGTATTTATATAAGTGAGTGGATTGTGGTCTGAAAAAACGTTAATTTTAAATGGGGAAGTGCCCAAATACACGTCAAAATGTTTTCCCAAGGACACCACAAGAGCTAGAGCTCCTTTCTCAATAGTGGCATAATTTTTCTGGTGTCGTTTGAGCTTAGATGAATAGTAACATATAGGATGGAGAATATCAGTGGATGTTGATGTTGGAGCGCACAGCACCCACTGCATAAACACTCTCATCTGTATGTAAAAAGGGAAGATTGAAATTAGGACTCAACACTAGAGCAGAGGAAAGCAAATGCTTCAACCTTTTAAACAAATCTGAACAATGTCTAGTCCAGGTGAACTGAACTTTGCTACTAGTGAACATAGTGAGAGGTGTAGGGGGGAGGTGTGTGTGCTGGCTTTCTGTCATTAACACACGTGGCAAGGTCGCACATGATCAGCTACTGTTTCCTTCATCTTTGGCCAAGTAAAATGTTTTGCCAGTTTACCGAGTGTCTTCTTGACACCTAAATATCCTCCTATGGGACTATTGTGAGCAAAATCAATGGCTTGTTCACGAAATGTAACTGGTTAACACTAAAGAGATGCTTTACTGTGGTGGAAACACTATTTAGCTGACAACTTACATGTATTTTTTCTCCATCAGTACACCGTTACTATAATAGTAACAATTATCGAGATCCTTTGCTTCACTCTCAGTAACTGCTATATCTCTCAGTCTTTCCAGTGACTGATCAACAAACTGATCCTTGATTAACCCTTTGACTGTCGCAACCCCCAATCCTGAGGTGTCTCCTGGTGTCGCAAAATTTAAAAAAAAAAATTATTTTTTCTTATGAAATGATAGAGAATCTTTTCCCGATTGTAATGACACCAAAAAAAACAAAATTTGATGGAAAACTGACGGAATTATGCTCTCGCGAAGTTAGCGACCTCGGCGCTGTATACAAATCGGCGATTTCGCCCACTTTGAGCCCTATTTTCGGCTAATTCCATTGTTCCAGTCGCCCAAACTCATAGCTATTTCTTTAGAACTCCATTTTTTTCTATCGACTGAGTACAAGAAACTGCCCATTTACCGATTTTAACTACCTAATAATGTGGTCAGAAATTTGCAATTTGGCCAATTTCACGAAAACTAAAAAATATGACGATTTCAAAATAAGGTCCAGAATGAACAATGCAGACATTCCTGGCTCTAAAATAACATTTTCTTTGCTCATCAGTCATGTCTCCAGGCCCCTCTGAATTACTCTTGCTTTCTATTTTGAATTTTTATTCAAACAAAAAATAGAAGACTTACTATTATCCAGACTACTGTAATAATTGTATAAATAACATCAACCCATTCATGACTGCATATTAGAATGGCTAGTTGGACATTTATTGGACAATGGCATCATTTGTTTACTTTTGAACATTGGGAAAAATCAAACATTTCCCCTACTTTGAGCTCCATTTCTAGGTTCTTTTTATTGTAAAATCAATCAAAATCACCTCTATTTCTATAATATGTTTTCCATTCTATCAAATGAGACCAAGAAAACGAGAATACAACCATAAATACTATACAAAAATAGACCACAAAGTCGGCATTTTAATTAAAAAAACGGTCGGGTTTTTTTTTCTCATTATGCACTGCGTGCTCCAGGATTTTTTTTATATGGTGCACACTGACCACACAGACCCATTCTCTCACATGTGGGCCTACCAGCTTTCTCCTGCTTGATTTGAAGCCGCTAGAATTTTTTTTATTATTATCACACTGGCCGATTCCCACCAAGGCAGGGTGGCCCGAAAAAGAAAAACTTTCACCATCATTCACTCCATCTCTGTCTTGCCAGAAGGGTGCTTTACACTAAAGTTTTTAAACTGCAACATTAACACCCCTCCTTCAGAGTACAGGCACTGTACTTCCCATCTCCAGGACTCAAGTCCGGCCTGCCGGTTTCCCTGAACCCCTTCATAAATGTTACTTTGCTCACAACTCCAACAGCACGTCAAGTATTAAGACCCATTTGTCTCCATTTACTCCTATAAACTACGCTCACGCATGCCTGCTTGAAGTCCAAGTCCCTCGCACACAAAACCTTCTCGTTACCCGCTCCAACCTTTCTTAGACGACCCTTTTTACCCGCCGTATTCCATACAGACTGATCACTCTGAAGTCATTGACTGTTTGCCACATTCTCTCTACATGTCCGAACCACTCTACAACCCTTCCTAGCCCTCTGGACTACAGTTTTGGTAATCCCACACCTTCCTCCTAACTTCCAAACTACGACATTCTCAGCATTATATTCACACCACACATTCGCCTCAGACTGTACAACTACCACTGCCTCCAGCCTTCTCCTTCGCTCAAACATTCAATCACCCATGCTTCACACCCATATAAGAGCATTGGCTAAAAACTATACTCTCATACATTCCCCTCTTT